TTGACATTTGTGGTGGTTTTCCACAATTAATGCAGCAGTATCTTTATTGTGCTTTGTTGAATGGTGCTGAGATATGATTCCATTGCTCTTCGATAGCTGTAATTTGGTTACAAATTACAGATTTGAATGAGTTTATTCAACCTGTAATCTTCTGGAGCATACCAGTGCCAGCACTGAGCTAGGTACTGGATCTGTGAGGATGAATAAGCTATGTTACCATTAAAGAGCTTGTGGCTCAGTGAGGAAATAGTCTACCATTGTGTAGAAGGAAATACTGTGTTGTGAAGAAAAGGCTATGAGAAGACAGATGTGAGTGGCCATTCTGCTTGATAGTGGTCAGGAAAGGGCCCACAAGATGATGGTTTTTGTGTTTGGCCTGAACTAGGATTTCACCAGTTTAGATGAAGGGGATGAGGAGCATTCCAGGTGGAGGGGATATGAAACATTAAAAGTATCAAATATGGTGTGCTTGAGAATTTGAATAGTCCTTTTGTGGTTGGAGCACGGGCAACTTTACAAGAAGGCATTCATGCCTACTGGGGTGAGGACAGTAAAATGCTAAAGCAGACAAGTTTGGACTTTATCTGTAGGTAATGAAGAGCCATCTCCATTTTATAAGCAGGGGAGTGATATGGTTAGATCTGTTTTTAGATTTGGAGTCCTTGGTATATATTGGAATGAAACCTGAGAAGGGATAAAATTACATAGAGTGTGGAGCAGAGAGAGGACAGAAGATTTAAAAGGCAAACGAAAGAATGAATAACACCAGAAGAACCAGTGATGTGGAAAACAAGAGAGGAGAGTTTCAGAGTCATGTGTGGTGGTGAGGGGGCACCAGTGGGTATAGAATGCACACGAGAGGTCAATCCTGGGGAATCAAAAAAGCGCACCATTCATTCAGCCAAATGTTTCATTTACTGGAGCTCCTACTATGTGCCAAGTACTGTGCTAGACAACCTGGACTATACCAGTACTATTAGTTTGCTAGAGCTGCCATAGTGAAAGAACAAACTGGTGGCTTTAAAACAGCAGAAATTAATTGCCTCATATTCTAGAGGCTAGAGTTTGAAATCAGGTGTTGGTAGCTATGCCTCTCTGAAGGTTCTGGAGGACCCTTCCTTGACCTATCACTAGCTTCTGGTGTTTGCCAGCAATCGTCTGGGTATTTCTTGGCTTGTAAATGTATCACTCCCAATTGCTGCCTGTATCATCCATGCATTCTCCTCGTGTCGCTATCTCTCTCTTATAAAGACACAAGTCACATAGGATTAGAAGGGCCATCCTACTCCAGTATGAACCTCATCTAACAGTTATATATGCAACAACCCTGTTTCCAAATAAGGCTCACATTCTGAGGTTCCGTGAAGGACTGAATTTTTAAGGGAACGTATACAACTCAGTATAACCCAGTAATAAGCAAAGATCCTGCCTGTATGGAACTTATGTTCTACCGTTGACCAGGAAAGCTTACAGGCTGACATCTAGCTACTGTTTAATTAAGGAACACAAACTGCTTGTTAGCCCACACTAATGGAAAAGAATAGAAGCCACTGCTAGGTGACTTTCAGTAGCGATCAGGCCATCCAAGCACCACTTATGACAATGGCTTTAAATTGAGCAACTGAACGCAGGAAATTGGTCTACTGTATAGGCTACCTCACTGGGAGGCAGCTTTTATGAATTGCAAAGGAATGCCCCAAGGCGAAACATCCAGGGCAAAATTCCATTATGATATATACGGCCCCAAGTTTTATAAATGAACATGCTACTAATGGCTATATTCATTCTTTTGTGGTTTTGGTCTCACCTCATTATTTAGGTTTCTGATTTTGAAAAAGTTATCAAACTGCATAATCTTTAGGGAGTCACTAAAATATTTGATATATTGTCATCACACTTATGTATAACGTTATTATAATAGTCTTATATAGAGTTAATGCTGTTCAAT